TGCAAAAAAGGTGACTACAGCTGACCTGTTGAACAGCTTCTGTATATTCAGGAGCTGGCTCTGTTGAGAGATTCAATCAGTTTACAGGTGAAGAATATGAAGTTAACAAATAGTGCATTAGATGTTCATATGAAGACATATGAACACATAGGGACACACAGACATATGAAGACATATGAACACATTAGAAACCACACAGCCTTAGATGTCGTGATTCATAAGTGTTCATGTCTATTCAAGTCACTAGATGTTCATATGAATCCATACACACACACATACATAGAACATGTGAAGACATGTAAGCACGTATGAAAACAACCCTAGATGTCTTGGTTCATACGTGTTCATGTACATACATCAGAGTTGGCTCATGAATATACATAAGATGTTCATACGGTTCATATATTGTTCATACGGTTCACATGTTGTTCATATGTCTATATATATATATATATATGTGTGTGTGTGTGTGTGTGTGTGTGTGAGTGTGTCTATTCATATGGTTCTTACATTAACAAAAATAATGAGATTTTTTTATTTTGTAACTCTCAATTAATGATATGGAGTTACATAAAAAATAAAATTACCTAAATACCGTTTTCCCCTTTGTTCACATATGTTTTTTGAAATTGTAAATTTAAAAAATTAATTTTTTTTATCATGATTAATCACTACCGTTTATTGTAAGAATCAATGGTCAAGATTGCTTAACAAAAATTAACACAATAATCTTGGTTAACATTTGAACCAGCCCATATATATATAGGGGCCCATTCAAGGAAGAACTAATTAGTTTGTGGTAACTGTGAGATCCAATTTCAACCACAAATCAACAGATAAATTAGGAAATTAATAATTATGGTAGTTTGAGTTAAAATTATAATTAGAGGGCATTTTAGGTATTTTTAAAAAATTCCTCTCTCATCTCTCCGACCTCCAATCTCCGGCCTCCAATGAACATTAATCCGGCAAGTAGCAAGTAATCACAAAGATACACAATGTGATACTAATTATGATATACTGTGATACCATTGTGATACCAACTATGATACCAACCCAAACCTTAAAAACGAAGAAACACAATGTGATACTCATTGTGATATATTGTGATACCTGTCGGATTAATGTTCACCGGAGGCCGGAGATTGGAGGTCGAAGAGATGAAAAATGAGAGAGAAGAGAAGAATTTTAAAAAAAATACCTAATATACCCTCTAATTATAATTTTAACTCAAACTACCATAATTATTAATTTCTTAATTTATCCGTAGATTTATGGTTGAGATTGAACCTCACAGTTACCACAAACTAATCAGTTCTCATTTGATAATATATATATATATATATATATATATATATATATATATATATGAGATATTTTAAAACACACCCCTTAACATTCAAACCAATCTTAAAAGCAACCCTCCATCTTTTAAACCAAATAAACCAGATATCACATGTATTTTTCAAGAACGTCATGTTTTCTAAAATTTAAATCATAAAGAGGAGAAATCAAATCAATCCTAAATGCCAAAATTTCTGGATTTAAAATCTAAATCACAAGACAAGAATTCAAGAAATCGACACCCCCACAAAATCAAATATTCATACTAAAAATCTAAATCAAGATTCAAGAAATCATGAATATGACATTGAAATTTTAGATTAAAGTATAACAATAAAACTAAAAACCGGAAGAAATCGAAAAAAAAAACATAAAGATAAATATAACATTGACAACGTTAGAGACTTAAGGGTTGTTCGGTTCGTTTTCTGTTAAGACCTATATAGATAAAGTTATTTGTGTTGATAAAGTTGTCTGCATGTTAACTGATAAGTTTTGTTGTTCGATTGTGCTGAATAAACAGTTTGAACGTCAGAAATTAATATTCTAACCTCAGTCTTTATTTGTGTAAGAATAAAACAAATGTTTGATAGAAATGTTGAATAAATGACGTGTAATTATTAAAAATATCAATCGAAAATTAAAATCAACTCAAGAAACTAAAAAGAAATCAAACTCAATCGCTCAAGATTCTAAGGGGGTGTTTGGGAAAGCTTATTTAAGGTACTTATCAACTTATTTCAGTCCACAACCGCCGATAAGTTATTTTGAGTGTTTGGATGTGAAAAAAAAAAACTGCTTATACCGGTGCCAAACCGGTAATAAGTTGTTTTTGATAAGTTACTCCCTCTTGACTTATTTGACATATTACCCTTTTAACCCTACAGGCCGCTCATCGCATCCGTCTCTCCCCTGGTTTCTCATCGCCGGCAAGTCCTCTGGTTTCTCATCGCCGGCTTCCTGCTTCTTCCTTCGCCTGTGCATACTCTTTCTCTATACCGAACGGAGGAGCGACGACCGGAAAAGAGATTCGAAGGAGACAACGATTTCACCGGAAAAGAGATTCGAAGGAGACAACGATTTCAGCAGACAACGATTCGAAGGAGACAACGATTTCAGCAGACAACGATTCGAAGGAGACAACGATTTCAGCAGACAACGATTCGAAGGAGAGAACGATTCGAAGGAGACAACGATTCGAAGGAGACAACGACCGGAAAACAGCAGAAGATCATCGATCGAACCAACTTCCAACGATTCTAGGGTTTCAAATATGAACCCTTTTTCTTCAACTCATAGAACCTGATGCTTTACCTGCGTATCAACTGGTATAGGGTAGAAGATAACCTAAAAATGAGCTGTCCTTTTTGGTCATTTTGCATTTTGGTACCGCTATAAGCTAATCCAAACACTTTTTACAAAACTCCAGTTTGATACCGCATAAGTTAATAAGCACTTTTACAAAAAAGTATAAGTTGTTTTAAATAAGCTTACCCAAACACCCCCTAAATTCAAACTCAAATTGTGTTTTTTGAAGAACAAACTCATCTAGTATCACTCAATCGATCAAGATCCAGAACCCAACCCCAGATTCCTTCTCTAACCTAACCCTAAATCAATCCAATAGTTGCTCAAACTCAAACTTAATCGATCTAGTAGTTGCTCAAACTCAATCGATCTAGTGGTTCTTGGCTGGAAACAGGGTGGTTCAAACACAATCGGTCCAAATTCATATCTAGTAAGAAAACGAAAACAAAAAAACAAAAAAAAAAGGAATAAGAAAAAAATTCAAATATGGGTTGGGTCCGGTGTTTTTCTTGGTTGGTGAACTTAATTTGGTGTTTTTTGGAGTTACAGATGCATAAATCAAGGAAGGGAGTGTTCTTCTTAGTGGTTATTCGAAGATCAACAGGGAAAGGGAGTTACAGAACATGTTTCGACAACCCCTTAGTTGTTGAAATGTGCCGAAGTTGGAGGCCGAGGAGAGTGGAGTTGTAGTTGCCGGACTTGAAAGATGGATCAGTGATGTTCACCGGCAATAGGGAACAAACAGTGCGGTGGTATTCATCATGGATTTGGTGGTGTTGATCAGCAATACATTCAACATGACGATGAAAGAGGGAGAAGGGTAAAGGGGAATAAAAGGTAAATGAAGGGCTAAATACAAAGGACACTACTTTTTGGCTGACCGAATAAGTCATTGGCTTATCAAATATGCCACAACATGACATCCATTTATGGCTGAACGAATAACCATATTGACTATACGGCCCATTAAGCTACAAGCAAACAACCACTTAAGGGCTTTAGTTGGCTGGTTGATTGAAGTGCAAGGGCCAAGTAAAAGAAATAAATAGAACTCGTATTTGGATAATGAAAAAACATGTTTGAGAAATAAACAAAATTGTAATTTCTATCATTTAGACCATAGATTCAAGGGAAAACAACGATAATTTTTTCTACAGACAGATGGTTTAACTGGCTTGATGAAAAAAATAAACCCCTGATTTGGAAGTGATTAAAGAGAAAGGTAGGAGTCTAGATGAGAAGAGATTGGTCAAAAATATATAAGATGTGGTTTCATGTAAGACTAAGTTGTTTTCGTGAGATCATATAAATAATACTGAACCTTCATAGCAGAACACTATAAAGGTAAACCTTCATAGTGTTTTGTTGTGAAGTTTCGGTGTTTTTTATACCTTCACATGTTTTGTTGTGAAATTCCCGTGTTATTTTGTGGTCTTACGGTCCACGAAAACAGACTAGTCTTACATGAACGCAGCCCAAATATATAATTCACGATCATTAGTATTCTATAGGGAAAAAAATATGAAACATGGATCAGGATCATATAGGACCTCTTAAACTTGATCAAGTATCCATCCCACCTCATGCCTAGTTACACACTAACATTTCACCCCATTGGAGTATAGAGTTTTAGAGATAACCATTCCAAACGAATCTAGTATATTCTACACACAGACTATGCAGTTAATTGCGGTTCAATAGCAGATTGTGGTCATTCAGAGGAATAGTGGTGGTTTATAGCGATGCCGCATTTAACGACGCTAATTACCGCTATTCACCTAAACAGCAATTCTTTTCTGGGCTGTTTTTGTGTTTGGGGCTTTTGGTTTTCTAGTTTTTGGTCTAATATTTGATGGGTTTCTTTTAGTTTTCGTTAGTCTAACATAAGCCATTAAGCAAAGAGACTCTTTTAGACTTTTAGCTAACCTAATTTAAATCGTCCCTTCATCGAAGGCTCCAAGCTTCGACTCTCATCATTCATTAGAGATCATATTCCGATACCAGGTCATTAGGCTGACCCACACGACTTCGACTAGCTGTACCAGTCACAACCCTCGACTTCGACTAGCACTAGTTTCATTCTTCCTTTTTACCCACCACCATCTTGAATATTTTTTGTGGTTTGCTTTGTATTACTTTATATGTATTGGGCACACATATTATTAACTTCGCTTATATGTAATGTTCGTACTTTTTTATGGTCAGAACCATGATTTTCACAATCGACCGCATTAACTGCTTAGCACAACGGTAACGAATATACAGATCTTGCAAAAAAAAATGGACAACGGACTTTGTTGATTGTTCTGCATACTATAATTTGCTTTCATCGCTTGTGCGGTTTATGTGATTACAATGTAACATATATCTCAAAAGTTTCAAAGATTGTGCTTTTACAATAACAAATTAAACATGTATTTTATCCAAACAAGTTCATTTGTACAAAAACACCACCACTGCCATTGATCTCACTACTTTTTCTATTGAATATTTTAAATTTACCTCGATGATTGCCAATAAGCTAGTACTCATCACGCACGGGCTAGCATTTAGAGAAATACCGAATCTTGAGCATTACGACGTGAAAAAGGGACGTTATAAGGTATCCCGAACGGTAGGAAAGCTTGTTCCATCTTTGACATGGCTCAATGCAGTTGGACACAGCCATTTCAACATGCTTGGCCCTAAAATCTGTCAAAAACAAAACCAAATCAGCATACTAACTCCGGGCATGAATAGATGTACCTTCGGATAATAATAACATAAATACAAAGTATTTTTTTTCCAAGTCTAGCCGATATAGGACTCCAACATGCACCCTCCAATGGATGCTAGACGGGTAAAGATGGCCCAGAGTGTAGAGTCCTGGGCAAAAATATTCCAGATGGTAGTCAGTAGACATCGGCTCTGATACCATGTTAGAATATGTGGAACCCTATTAGATTGCTCTCCATCAGAACCCTTCAAGAGCGATTGAGATGGGAGGTTCTGAATTCTAACATATATGGAGAACTGGTCTAAGTCTAGCATAACGATTAGAATAATAGAAAGGTAGTTTATGCATAATAATTTGTATGTATCGTTCAACAAGATGACAGAATTTCCGAGACTTGCATTCCATAAGAAAAACAGGGGAAGACGAAGAAAAAGACAGTACCATAGTGACATTTCTGTATACACCAACATCGTAAGTATGCTTATAAATCTGCCCAGACTTCCTTGCCAACCATGCAGCCCTAGTCCCTTCATAATACTGGTAAGAAAACAAAATTCGATTCTTTTTCATCAAATTGCAACGTTTAACTGGACACACGATTTAATGAAGACATTTAACTCAACCAAAAGCCATAAATACCTCTGAATAATCACAAAACACCCAAATGCATGCAACTTTATTTACCTCTATTGTTGTCATATTGTGTGTCAACAGGTAGATATGCCAGCCCAAGAGAGTTCCAAGCGTCAAACTCAAGAGAGAAATCATTGCCCCGGATGTAATCTGATGAACATAAGCTGATAAGTCTTTTAACAGAAATGCTTCATCTTTTGTGTAACAAAAATCTTGGCATCAAGAAAATGTTCCTCACAAGAAAGATGAAAACTTTTTGACTTTTGAGGTCAACCTGAGTTCTTCGAAAAGTGAAATCGACATGGGTATAGTTGTCAAAGAGATATCGTAAGATCTTGTGTACTTTGTAGTCCATAAAAAGAAAACATTTCACATATTTATGCATAATAAATAAAGCAAAAATGTTAAATGACAAACGAATAGAAGTATAGGACCTAAGTTACTTGACACTTACCGACATTTTTGCCAAGTACAAGATGAACCCTCAAGGTTTAACTTTTATACTAAAAGTTCTATATTCCTCATAGAATCTTAGAAAATAACAATCATAAAACTTCCCATTGGGTTAAGCTCACAGACTTATTTGAAAAAGCAATTCGCATTCCCGGTTATAACTTATAAAGCAAATATGGTGTCACTGTTCTAAGTTTGATGCTAACGAAAGAAACAAAATATACTGAAGTTGCAAACAAATAATTAGAATCTTACGTAAAAGGTTTTGAGGCGAGTCGTCCTAGCAAACTCCCAATCCTTTTGAATTCCACACCCGATTATTAAAACCTATATAAGCTGAAATTATTACAATACATGAAAGCTGTTTGATGATTAAAAAGCTAAAAAAGTGGTTTATACATACCAAAGAATGAAAACTTGAAATAGTGGCATAGACCACAAGAAGAAAAAAGGCTTTGTAGTTCCTTTGACCAACGCAATTGTTTATCCACGTGCAATGATGATCCTAAACAAGAATTTCAGTGTGAGATGATTTCGTTAATAAATATAAGTTCTGAACCTAAAATATGAAGGGGTACTCCTTACAATCCTAAAACAAGATATTCTTTTGATATTTTAGTTCAAATGAACTAATGGGGATATTGAAATTAATCAGATCTACTCCATCTGTCCCCAAGTACGATTTTTTTACTAGAAACATAGTTTAATGGAAGTGTTTGATCATTAGCCAAATATCTAAACTACCCTTACACAATGACAAATAGAGGAATCTAGTTAGCTTTGTAGCTAATTTGATTATATTCCGATGACTAAGAACCTTCTAAAAACCCATTGTGTTAGTTTTTGCATTTGAAAAGGTAAAGTTTGACCTCAGAACTCAAACTGCACCTCTTTTCTAAATAGAGTTATGTTACTGTATTTTCATACCCACCATTTTCAAGACACACCTTCTGCAAACACGACAATGGTGTGCTCTTGGAGGCTTGTATGCAGAACACTTGTCACATCGTTTTTGAAGTGCTTCCTGAAATAAACATCATATAGTATCAACAAAACAAAATTAACATGTAATCAAGAGCTTCAAATATTCAAATCATTTAATTTGTATTTTCATTTTTCTCCAAATAGAACAAATCAAATATTAGGCGACAAAGCTCCCATTATTTGCCAACCATTCTTGCAACTCAAATTCAATTTCTCAGGCATACAATTCACCTCTTCAAATTCAATCGAGTACCTAATAGATGGACACATCCTGAGTTTTGCACCCAAAACAGAACATATTCAACTAGGAAACCAACTAGTAGGACTAGAGAAAGAAAGAACAAAAGACTATGAACAAGCATTTTTTTAATCAGAAGATAATTAGTTTGACTACACCAACAAAGCTGCCTTCTTCTATGTATATGAATAAACTGATTATCCACATTCTACAGCCACATGATGAAGCCGCCAGTTATATTCAACATATAGAACACGACAAAGAGGTCTTCTTCTATGTATATGAATTGAAGTCAGGTGTGGTGGCTGTAAGGACTAAGAAGCGAAGCTACCTGATTGCAATGAAGAAATTTAGGATGGTGATAAGAACCAGTAGGCAGTTTGTATTGAAATTGGTAAATTGATAAGCGATTACAATAAATAAAAGATATTTCTGGATTCGAGAGCCAGATCTCTCCTAAACATGAAAGATACTAATTTCTGCCTACCTTATTCTCCCCTCTTTCCCATGTTTATTAACAGTCATAACCGTAAAGGGCTTGGGCCTGGGGTCGGCGCCTAACATTACCCCCCCCCCCCCCCCAAAGAACCACCTTGTCCTCAAGGTGGGAAAATTTCAAATTCATGTTGATTGAGTTCCCCTTTTGTTCTTCTTCTTCTTCGGTGGGGTCATCCTGCAGCAAGAGCACTTGTACTTGTTCTTACATTTGTGCCCAACTAAATACTTTTCGTCACAGCGGAAACAAAGGCCTCTCGCCCTCTTGTCTTGGGGTTCTTCCTCGGTTAATTTTCTAGTCATTGCGGATTCCGTTTGGATGGTTATCGTAGGGGGGTTGCCCGAATCGGTTACTCGAGTACTTCCCGGTACTTCCCGGTATTTGGGAGTTTCCGACTCCAACTAATTGGACAGTCTCCATAATTTGGGCCAGACCTTGTGGGCGTAATAATCGAACTTCAGCCTGACTGCTCGGTTTGAGTCCATTCATGAAATTATTTTCAAACACCTTCTCCGGGAGATCCGATAAAGAGGATGCTAATAGTTCAAAGGAATGGCAAAACCCGCGACTAGTACCTCTTTGTTGGAGGGCCAAAAGTTGTTCAAGGGAAGAACCGCCATCTGTGGGTCGGAATCTGTTAATGAGTTGCAATTTCAAATCCTCCCAAACCAGAATCGGACGTCTACTATCGGCCCAATGAAACCATGCTAGCGCCTCATCTTCCATACAAATCCCTGCCGTGGCAACCTTCTCCTCCTCCTCAAAATGTTGAAGGGAAAAATGGTGTTCCGCCCAAAAATCCATCCATCTGGATCGATTCCATTGCACATGGTTAATTCAACATGGATTGGACAAAGTCAAAAAACATGGAGGACCAAACATGAATCAAATCATTAATGTTGGACCAAAAGAAGACTTACAAGGTTTCTAGGGGTATTTCTGAAGAAAAATAAACCAGGAAGTAGGGGTGTTCAAAAAAACCGTTGAACCGCTCAAACCGGTTGAACCAAGTCAAACAGGACCGCTTTTGGTGGTTTGAGCGGTCTGATGATCAGGTCAAGACTGAAAAATAGCCAAACCGCTTGGCCCAGTCTGCGGTTTGAACGTTGGTTTGAGCGGTATGAACCAAACCGACCGCCAAAAAATTACACATATATTAATTATATTTAATTTTTATGTTATGGGATCAACTATATGGCACGATAAACAAAGTTCCTCCATGACATTATGCTTTTAGTTTTCATTTCTCAATTGACTAGGTCATTTAAATTGGCAAGATTTTGAATTCCATTGAAAATCAAATCCAAAATTCCAAATCGTCATTTGACTTGCTCAATATTTGTCCAAATTTCCAACTATTGTTAGTGGATTTGTTTAACCTTTTTTCAACTTGCTCAATGTTTTTCAGTTAGAGAGATAGATGTATCTTTTATAATTTGGTATCTTATTTTTTAATAATGTCATATTGGTAGAAATTTCATTTTGAATGAAGATGTTATCTTTTTTTGTTTAAAACCCATAAGAGGCCCAAACCGTCTAAACTGGTCAGACCAAACCGCTTTTTTGTTGTCCGGTTTGATCAGTTTGGTCACTTGCTGCCAAACCGCTCGGTTTGGAAATTTTCCTACACCGCTAATGCAGTTTGGTTTGTGGTTTGGGAGGTTAATCCGCCCAAACCGGACTACAAACACCCGTACCAGGCAAGAGCGCATGTGAAATAAAAGGAGACCAAAAGGGCAGTTGTAGAAACTTTTTGTTTATTTAAATAAAACCTCATGTTAGGATTAGGAGGAGTCTCTTTTTCTATTTTTTAAAATAGTGGCTGTTTTTATGCTAGGTTTTCTTTTCTTTTCTTTTCTTTTTCTTTCATTCATTCTTAATTCTTATACATATAAAGAGTGGATGAAGAGGATACATATGGAGGATGGAAGATGATGTTCATTGATGGTTCACAAACATTGAAGCTAAATATGAATCATATGAGCATTTATATCCCTTCAATCTCCTTTTTTTATTAGTTTTAATTATCGATTTATTTTAATTGATTGCTTATAGTTTCTTTAATCTTGGTTCTTCATTCTTTTTTATTACAACTTCATTTCATGTTCATTAAAGTAGTTTTCTTGTTTCGCAGTTTAGTGCCTATAGGTAGATTAGGATTTGGTTGAGGTGTCGGCTAATTGTATTTAATTCTTGGTTTGTCTAACTATCAAAGTCATCGTACATTAGAAACGTATGTTGATGATGATTGTTTGGGATGATGTCAATTATCTATTTAGTTTGAGTTTAATCCAGAGTTTGACTTAGACTTAGAACCGCTTGTCGTCGACTTTCATCCTTCCATGAAAATAGGTAAGAATGAGAGTTGGGGATCGTTTTGTGATTGCTTAACACTTCTAGTTGGGTTGACCATCAAGAAAATAGTCAGTCCGTTTGATTGGGAAGGCTCGCTCACCTTGAGAGAGGGTTTGAGTAATCATTGTTTGACAAGCCTCACCTTCGTGGATCCAAAATCAACCTTAGTATGTCCAGTTTAATTTAGAGTCTAAACTTAGTGTCATTTTATAATTAGGTCAGCTTTTCTGGTTTTTTATCGCTTTCTGTATTTTTAGTTTGTTTTTATTGTCGAAAATCTCAAATCAAAGTTGCATTCATGTAGTTAGTTCATAATCAAAAAAGGGTCTACGTTTAAACCATTGTCTCCCTATGATCGACCCGTATGCTTGTGGTATAAGTTTTAAAACTCACATCAGAAAACTGTGGTGGTTTGATCGCTTCTGTAGAAAGCAACAAAGAACACCATTAAGGGTGGAGAAAGTTACGATCAAGTTAATGAGGAAAGGCAAGGTAAGGAGAACAGGGAACGAGTTGTTGAGAATGCACATGGCGGCTTTAGTACTTTCCAAGGGAATGACCTCAGATTGGAATTCTTAGAGCCAACGAATTAGGGTAGATGATTATTGGTAGAAAAGTATTAGGTTCTGCAGTTAGGAGCAGGGGGATAAAATGATAGAGGGTGAGATAGGGGGAGGGTAGAGAAGAAATCACATAGGTTTGCAGATAGAAAGTGATTCTTTAGAGTGTCCCTTGTACTTTTAGATAGAACTTATTGATTTAGCTGTATGCCTGTATCCACATACATCTATTACTGGTCAACCTGTTTTCTCGTTTTATCTATGTTTCTTCTTGTCTTTTTTTCTCCTTGCAATCTTCCTAAAACTGCCCTTAATTTTTTTAATCATAATAAAGTTTAGTGAAGTCTCTACTGAAGTCTCTAGTTAAGCTGTCCTAATCTTTTTTCACAAGTCAGGGGTCTTTTTGGAAACAATCAGAGACCTCTTGAGGTCGAGTTATGGTATGTGAACCTCCTCCCCTCAGACTCCCTACTTCAAGGTGGTATTATTGTGTTTGTTTTTTTTGGTTTGGTTTTACCCTCTATGCTTTATCCTTGTATTAGAATCCACATTTGTGTTCGAAGGTCATGTGGGTAATGGGTTGTGTTTTACCTCCAAGATAGACAAAATTTGTTTGGAAACTGAGGAAAAATGGTGATTACATTCAGCTATAAAAACTCCAGTTTCAGTAGAAAATTTTAAGACTTCAGAAAAAAAAAATCCAAAAATAATTTCAATTGAAAGAACTGAGATTGGATCTGCTTGCATCTTTCCTAAAATTTCCTTTAAAATTTCTCCTTGCAATCTTTCATAAAAGTTCTTTCAATTTTTTTATAGTAATAATAATAATAATAAAGTTTGTGCACCAATGAAGTGTCTAGCTAAGCTTTCCTAATCTTTTTCGCAAACCAGGGTCTTTTTGAAAACAACCTCTACCTATTAAGGTGTATTGACTGTGTACATCCTACCCCGACCCTACTTCCAGGTGGGATTTACTGAATGTGTTTGGTTTGGTTTTGACCCTCTACCCTCTATCCCGTTATTAGAATCCACATTTGCTTTTGAAGGTCATGACGGTAATGGGTCGTGTTTTACTTTCAAGGTTGGCAAAAAAGTGGATTTTGAATATGGGACAAAAGAAGTAATTAGATTTAAAAGAAGTAATTAGATTTAGAAGAGGTAAAAACTGCTAAAATAGAGAGGATTGAAGATTTAGATAGAATTTGCGAAATAGGGGCATGGTGTAAGTAATACATGGGAAAGGATGTAAGTGAATAGCTAGATTAAGCCATCCACGAGCACCATCATGACGTCAAAGCATTTACAATATCCCTTCAAATTGCTTTCACAAGTAGGAACTAAATAATTACTTGATAGCCAACATTAAAACATTGTATTCTAATTAATCTTTTTTCTGATCACATTTATCTACACTTCTCTCTAGTACATATCATTAACTATCTTGCACAGTAATCAAAACCAATGAAATTCCCTAGATCAAGGTTGAAAACTTTTCATACCATATAGCTATTAGTATGATAATAGCCCATCCTTTAGTAAAGGGACATAACATAAAACTTAACTCCTATCAATACTAAGGGGCCGTTTAACAATAGCTTACCGGGTCAGTTACCTTATCGGGTGAGCAAGGCAAGGACCGATAATCTTACCCAGTAAGAGGCATGACAACAACCAAGGTTCTTACCCGGTAAGTGGGAGAGAAGACTCTTACCCAGTTAGCGCTTACCGAGTAAGAGACGCTTACAAACAATCTATTTTGATGGCCGAGAATGTTACCAGACAAGGTAAGACTGTAAGGGAGGTGGTGACTCTTGTTGATAAGCGGTTACCCGGTAAGCATTTAGTAAACAGCCTCTAAGACTACAACCATGATGCAAGTCTCACAATAAGATAAGCACTTGAAACCATTACTCAACAAACTACCATGACGTAGAGCTTTGGTGGTTTTTTCACTTCAATCCTAACTATGAATAGCTCTAATGCATAAAATAACGCTTGCTATCCATTATTATCTAAATTTCATTTAACCCACATGCAATCATCACCTACCATGTTTATGGCCTACACTAGAAAAGAGTTCCAAGACATAAATCAATAACACGAACTTTCCCAACGTCTTTTAATATAATGCTACATTAATCAACTACCATGACACTTCAAATTCAGAAAACGCTTAAAGCAAGATTAGCCTATTGCTTGACAATTCTTTTATACATTATATAACTTCTTGTGGAAGCAACCATTAGCCTTTGCTGTTTCAGCTGCGTAGTTGATGCTTGTTTTTCCTTCGAAGTTTGAGTTTTGGAGTACTTTGTCATCTATAAGTTCTAGATCAAACTAAAATAATATATATGAATATGATGATGTGTATCTTTGGTGTACTTATAAGGAAGCAGAAGATCTGGTAAATATATCCGGAAAAAATGTAGTTCGAAAGGATATATTCAAATTTGGTTTAGTTTTACTGGAAGAGGGATAGATTGATGGAGATGTTAGTCATAGGCATGGTTTAGAAACACAGTCTAGGCGTATGCCTGGAGGAAGCAAGACGGTCCAAAACTGATTCTAGGGCTCTGCCTCACATGGATGAGGCGGACGATTCTAAGGCGAGATCTACTGAGGCATATGAGGTGCATTTGGGGTTTTTTTATCAAATGGTTGATAAATGAAATGCTAAAAACAATTCTCTTTCTCACCTCTCCTCCCTCGAGCTTTCTCTCCTATCTTCTCCTCATGACAAGATGGATAGTTTGTGTTCATCATTTAGAAAAAGAAGTGGAAGCACAAATTTTTAAATAAAAAGTCACTAAAAGAGAAAGATGATCATTAGATTGTTGAAAATGTGTCTTCTGATGATGAATTTGGGAACCAACCCAAATGATGAAGATGACAATAGTTAAAGAATTAAAGTTGGCGGGAAAATTAAGGATGAAGCATGAAGGCGAAAGTGTCGCATCAAGGAAGTGGAAAAGAAATCACGCACCAAAGAAATATTACTTTTAGAACTTACTGCAAATTTGAAATTATATATTTATATTATATAGTATAAACATAGTTCTGTAATTATTCATATTTATATGTTATAAAATAATGTAGAAAAAGACAAAGATATTCAAGTGAATTTGGATAAGGAGGATGAAACTAAGGGAGGAGATGACAGTGATTATAGAGATGATGCTCGAGCTATATAATTTCATTGCTCTTCAGAAAGTCTCAACAATAGTGATAATGTTCATGAAAATAATGACTTCTTGAAGGTTTAATGAATTTAGTTTATGTGTTTAAGACTTATACCTAGTAATTTTATGGCTTTTCATGGTTCAATATGGAATTATGTGTTTGTTTGTTATAAATTCTATGAATTTTTGTTGTTGTTATTGTTCAAGTGTATGCCTCGGTACACCCCAACTCCCCGAGGCTTACGCCATGTGATACTAAGGGAAAACGTCTCGCCTTGCTTTTTCGCCTTTCAAATTCTTGGTCAGAGGATAAAACATAGTGGTTGAAATGGTAAAAAGTGTCACGAGTAGGTGTGATAAAAAAAACTCCGTATAGAATGTTGGCAAACCCTACTATGATTTATGAGGAAAATAGTTGGCTAATCAAAGACAAAATGTACATAGAAGCATGGCATAAATGCAAACATTGAAGTGGATGATAGGCCGCACGATGGGAGATACAATATAAGTAAGAAGGCTGGGAGTAATACGAAGGTAACTCCATTTCAAACGGTTGGCAATCTCCAACAGAGACCTTCAAGTGCAATAGCTAAAACTAGAAACTTATACCAAGAGGGAAGGTTCTAGGGTAGATAGAAGTCGACCAAAACCACATCGAAGGAAGTCATGAAAAAAATGTATTTTGCATTAAAATAATATAACAAAAGAGGTAACCTTGGATGGAAGCATGCAAAAGGGCAACAATCATGTCTACTTAGCCTCTCAATATTTGTTCTTAAATTGCACTATTTTGTAACTTATTTTTTCAGCTTCACTTTTACCCACATCTAAGTCATCAAGTGCCTAGTGATCTTATGAATCCTCATCACATTTTACTTCCCATCAGATATGTTAAGCCCTTTTTCGCCTTTAGACAAACTTCATTAGCCTTTATCCATTTCCCTCATATAAGTTTTACTAAAATTTTATTAACACATTTGAGTATGTGCTTATTCATTAACCCAAGATTTACCATCCATATATCAAGATTCAGCCCCATCTACCGGATTACACTTATGCTTCGAAAATCCTTAACACAACATACCTATATTTACGGATATTCTCCTTGTGATTTTGATTATAATTAGCAAGTGATCTCCGATAACAGATGGCATTTGACCCAAATTGAACTAGTTCAAAATTAATCTCTAACAAGTTTCATCAGTTTCGAATAACAAAAAGAAAGAAATTCCAAACGCTAAGCTGATAATTTACAAACCCTAAATTGCTTCCATGTATTCATAATTTACAAAATTAATCTATGTTGAGTTACAGTTTTTACACCTTGATCACTCTTATCATGACAAGAAACTACATCCTTGACTTTCCAGGTCCAATCTAAATACCAATAACCATTAAACTCAATAACATCAACAATTCAGAGAACGAAAGTCATGTGGGTCTTCATCAAAATTTGTATCAAGAACTCAAAAGTGTAGAAAAGAAAATTCTTACAGCTTTCCTTGATTCTTGATCGGAGCCATCATTGTTTTCAATATCAGGGAAATACCCAGATGGGACACCACCAGGATCAGTGAGAACACACACCAAAAATGAGAAAAGAGTGAGCGATGCCAACGAAGTAAAGATCACAGCATTAAGCCACCCTGCTGAGCTCTGTAACCCTATCCAGTCATCAAGAAATATGAAAACGGTGCCGTAGTAGACCATTTCCATTAATATCAAAACTGCTAGTATAGGTAACGATACGAATCTTCGCCATTTCATCTCTTAATTTTGGGAGAGATTGCAGAGGAAGCCGGAATGGGGGGTTCTGCCCTTTGCTTGCCGTGTCGAACGCGAAGAAAGAATTCAATCGGATCAATTTTGCATTCAATTTGGAAATCCAAAAATTGTCCCAATCTACGGAGTGACTAATCTCATATAGAAATTGTTGTATGTTTGTTTTAATGGAAACCAGAATAGTAATCGCGCAAAACAGCAAGATAAATAGTGATTTTAATATTTTATTTTATTTTTTATCTCAGTCGATGTTATAATATGACTTTATGTTATTTTGAAAAAACGATAATGTTTTAATTTTTAAATAAAATATATATTTGAAAATATCATAAAAAATTTGACAAAAATATATCGATATTAGTATCAAATTAATTATTTGAAATTCTTTATTTTTTGTGTAATTTTTTAATTCA